GGGCTGGAGCCGCCAATCCGCGTCCCGGAAGGAGCGAGCTGCGGGGTTCGAGCCAGTGAGTGAAAGCGGCGCCGCCTGCCGGTCGCAGACGCGGCAATGCTGTTGTCCCCCGCCTCTTCATTTAGGGCTCTCGGAAGGAAAGAGGGCGAGCAGCGGGTATCCGCGCCGCGCCTCTTCGCACGTCTGTCCCCGAAATAGGGCCCCTTATCCCGGCCGCCCCGGTCCCTGCGCCGACTGGGCGCATCTTTCCGGCCTCACCGCGGCGCCCACACTGTCTAGCGTCCCCGTCCCGGTCCCCAGTCCCTGCCCTGTCGCCGGAGCGGTCACTGCCCCGCCCGCCGTTCTTCCGCTGCCACCGCTGCTGGCACCATGGGCAGTGAGCAGAGCTCCGAGGCCGAGAGCCGACCCAACGATCTGAACTCCTCAGGGCTATTGAGTGGCCAGACTTCCCCAACAAATACCAAATTGGAGAAACTGGATTCTCAGCAGGTGTTGCAGCTGTGCCTCCGATGTCAGGATCAGCTGCACCAGTGTGCAGAAGCTGTTGCTTTTGATCAGAATGCTTTGGTTAAACGAATCAAAGAGATGGATCTGTCTGTAGAAACCCTCTTTAGCTTCATGCAGGAACGCCAGAAAAGATATGCGAAATATGCTGAGCAGCTCCAGAAAGTCAACGAAATGTCTGCCATCCTCCGCCGCATACAGATGGGCATCGACCAGACGGTGCCGCTGATGGAAAGGCTCAACAGAATGCTGCCTAAGAGCGAGCGGCTAGAGCCCTTCAGCATGAAGCCGGAGCGAGAGCTCAAGCTATAGCACTGCTGGTTCCCACCTGCCAGGCTGCTTTTAGGAGGCAGAGATGCCAGTAACCCAGAGGACATTTGGAGCCCAAGTCCTGTGGTATGACCAAGGCCTGAAGCTGGTACAAGGTCTGGGTCCTCACTGCAGTGGACACTGCATGGACTGCCACTGCCAGCATGGACTGTCTTTGCCCATCTCCTTCCCTTGATGCTAATGCCCTGTGTGAAACGAACAGAACTGATTCTTGGTGATAACTGAAGTTGGAACATTACTAGAAATTGTTTTAAATGCTGCATGGAGAGTTATTTTTTGTTTTCTTTTTTGTTTTTTTATTGACAGTATATATATTCTAGTGTAGCTACTGGGGTGAAAACATAGAAAAAAGGGAGAAAAATTTTTTAAGAAGCTATGTGTCTTCAATGCCCTTGTGAAATTTTACTCAGGCTCTGGGTTATGGGTTATAAACATGAAAAAAAATTAAAAAAAAAGAAGTGTTTTGTTTTGATGGGATGTGATGGCAATCACATAATACATTGTAAGGTGAAAGAGCAGTTCATGTGAAGTGCAGGATGCTAGAAGGAAGAGGCTGCTCTTCATTTATTTTATATAGTATATGTTTATGTTCCTGAGGTCTAAGATTTTCAGTTCAATTGAAAAATAAGAAAAAACTGTTAATAAATTGTTCTTGTTGTTTTCCAGGATGGCTGCACCCCACTTTTACTTGCCCTAAAGGAAAACAAACATCATATGGCAGAATTTTTAATTAAGGCAAAAGCAAATATACATGCGGTTGACATGAGAGGAAGGTATAGTAATTTATTCTTTAAAAACACTCACTCAGGCCAAACATTAAATTAATGGGAAGGAGAATATTAATTTATACATATTGGATTAGAGTGAAAAATATGAACACAAACCATGTTTTAGGTAGAAATATTTGATTTTGTTGTTCACATATGTTATGGTTTGGATATGAGGTATTCCCCAAAACTCACCTGTGAGACAATGCAAGGAGGTTCAGAGTAGAAATAATTGGGTTGTGAGAGTCTTAACCCAATGAGTGAATTATTCCCCTGACAGGGATTAACTGATTAAGGGAGTGGTAACTGAAGTGTGGTAGGGTGTGGCTGGAGGAGGTAGGAATTGGGGGCATGGCTTTAGGGTATATATGTTTGTGTCTGGCAAGTGCAGACCTCTCTCTGCTTCCTGATCACCATGATGTAAGCTGCTTCCCTCTGCCATAATCTCTTGCCATGATGCTCAGTCTCACCTTGAGCCCCTGGAAATGGAGCTGTCTTCTATGGACTAAGACCTATGACACCATGAGTACTTGAATAAACATTTTCTCTTCTACAATTGTGCTGGTTTGGTTCTTTAGTCATAGTTGTTAAAAAGCTGACTAAAACAACATGATCATATATGACCAAAAGTTTTAAATAAGTATAGATTTTGGCATTTTTGCTTCAATAATGAATTTCTTAACCTCTGTATTGAATTTTAACTTCCATTTTTTATGCTTTTCCTTAAAATGGTATATTGAGCATAAATAGGCTTTGATAATCTTTCCTTTTCCTTTTGGATGGCTCTAAATTGCTTTGTTTGAAGAATATTGATATTAACTTATTCCTAATTGAACATTAATTGCTGTTGCTAGATGTTGTTCATTTTCTAATATATTTTGATGTTATTCTTCCCTTTTTTCAAGATTTTTTATTCTAATTAGTTATGCATAGCAGTAGAAAGCTCTTCAATTTATTATACACAAATGGAGCAGAATTTTTCACTTCTCTCATTATGCATGGAAGTAGGATCACACCATTCGTGCAATTGTGGATGTAATGATGTCCAAATCTTTCCACTGTCTTTCTTATGCCTTTATTCCCTCACTCCTCCCCTTTGCCCAATCCAAGTTTCCTCCAGTCATCCCATGCTTCCCCCATATGGATTAGCATCCATTTATCAGAGAAAACATTTGCCCCCACTTTTTTGAAATTGGCTTATTTTGTTTAGCATAATTTTATCCAACTCCAACCATTTACTTGTAAAAGTCATAATTTTATTCTCTTTTAATTGTAATATTATGTTGTATATATGTACCACAGTTTCTTCATCCATTCATCTATTGGAGGGCATCTAAGTTGCTTCCACAGTTTAGCAATTGTGAATTGTGTTGCTATAAACATTGAAGTGGCTGCATCACTGTTTTAAGTTTACTGTTTGAAGTCTTTAGGTTATAGGCTGAGGAATGGAATAGCTGTGTCCAAATGTGGTTCCATTCCAAGTTTTCTAAGGAATATCCATACTGTTGTCCAGATTGGTTGCACCAATTTTCACTCCCACCATCAATGTATGAGTGTGCCTTTCTTCCACATCTTTGCCAACACTTATTGTTGCTTGTCTTTTTGATAACTGCCATTTCTGACTGGAGTGAGATGAAATCTTAGAGTAGTTTTGATTCACATGCTTTTCTTTTTTTTAAATACATTTTTTTTTTAGTTGGAGATGGGCACAATAGCTTTATTTTATGTATTTTTTTTTCCTGTGGTGCTGAGGATCGAACTCAGTGCCTCACATGTGCTACAACCCCAGCTCTGATGCTTTTATTTCTAATTGGCAAGGGCTGAGGGAAGAAAAACAGCTTTAATGGCACAAACATTTCCTTTAAGGAAAAAATAGGTGTGTGATGAAGAGAAAGAAGATAAGCTTTAAATTCTCACATGACTGTGTTGCATTTCTAGCTTTCCTAGTTACAAAGTGTGACACTTTGGAAACATTACTTATCACTAAATATATTTCCTGATATGAAAAAGAATGAAACATGTTTGAAGGGTGGTACTAAGATGATACATATAGCATGATTTTAATCCTTACCAAATGCTTGTTTTCATTGTTATTAACTGAAGCAATAATGATGGATTATCACCATTATTATTATTATAGAGGTTGTTTTAAGTCTGCTCACAGCCTTTGTTTGCTTGACTTTTAGCTGACTATGAGTTATAATATATCACATCAGACTGAGGAAGAAATGGAGCATTCTTCATTGAAATCTCTTGTTTGCTTCAGATAAATAACCTCATCTCAGTTATTGTCCATCAAGTGATTTTATTTTTATAACTTGTAATTCCCCATTGGGACAAGAGGTTTCCTCTTTGTTCTTGTCCATTTAGACTGAGAGATGATTTGCAGAGCTGACCCCCCAAGATGCTTATGTCTGTTAAGATATGTAAAGGAAGATACTAAATTGAAAAGATACATAAAATTAGCTCTTAAAGTACCTAATAACAAAGTTATTTCTCCATTATTTTAGAACAGCCCTCATGCTTGCAGTGAGGTATGAATCACCAGATATAACCAAGCTTCTTATTGAAGGAGGTATTGATGTTTTTGCGGAAGATGTGGATGGAGGGACTGCATTATGTTATTCTGTTGCTAGTGGCTGCAATATGTAAGTGTTTTAATTAAATACTAATCAACGTTAAGTGGAGGTTAAAAATAAGCACAACTATTGCATCTTATATATCATTTAAGTGTTCATAGTTCAAATATGTTAGGAATGGCAGTTACTGAGTCCCTTCATCAGCCATTAACACTGCAAAAGTCTAGTATAATTAGCAATAATGATTAGTGCAGGACATATTACAGAACTTTTTTCTTTTTCTGCTGGTATTATGGTGTTGAGGATTGAATCCAGGTCCTCAATCATGACCTCTCCCACTGAGATACACCTCCAGCCCATATCTCAGAACTTTAAAATGTTTATTCTTATAGATCTCAGCATTATCCACTTCATTCCAAGTATAATGTCTCCTACGGCAACTGTGATTTTTCTTATTAGGTATTTGCAGTTTTAAGTGCTCAGTTTAGTAAAAAATTTCCTTACTTTACTCTGGGACCTAGCTTTTCCACTATCATTCTTGAATCTCCCCAGAATTTGTGAATTCCTTAAGTTCAAGGAAGACAGTTCTCTTTTACCATCCAGCTGGAAGGGAAAAATGGACTTTAAAATCATTATATATTTATGTCATTTCTGTCAATTGTATTGCTGCAGTGTTGATATTAGAACTGGTTAACTTTTACTACCCAGTTGTCCTGACTGATCACTATCCCTAAGTGGAAATACCAGTGTAGGTTTGAAAGTTACACTTATTTTTGTAGTTCCCATTTGCATGTGTGGTTATGCTCACTTATGATTCCCAAAGCAGCTGCATTCTGCTTTGGCATGTGAGCCATCTAGCTTTAGTCACACGCATAGTGAGCAAACCATGTCCTCCACTTAAATCCTTACATAGAGCCCATGTGTTAGCCAAACCCTTCATGGTGAGTTATTCTTTGAGGCTTTCATTTGTCTTTTCTGCAAATATTTGTTGGAATCATTTAAAAACTATCAGATACTTTAAATAATGTCATAGGAAGAGATCAGTTTCCTTTCATGTTTGCTAACAGATTAATTATACCCCAAAGCCTCATTATGTCCTGTGAAGCACCTTTCTTTGATAAGGGGAGGTCTCATATTACTGTTTCCAAGAGGGAAGTGTGATGACTTTTATTGGCATCTCTAGTAACTTTTCAATTGTGATGAAGATTTCTCAAAATACTTGCCCATCTGCTTGAAGGTTTCAGAATATTTCAAGTTCTGCCTCACTGGGAAGTCATTAAGCAGCATTCTAAGTTCTAAGAGAGTTAAGATATCTAATTCAGTTAAGCCCTATAGTGACACATGAGTATCTGTGTATAAAATAGGATTTTGTCATCCAAGGCAGTTGAAGATGAACACGCATCATTCTAACAAAGATCTGCTGGTTCAAAATTTGACTTGATAGACAAGGAACAGTAGCAGGCCAAGTCAAATTTTAACCATTTGTTAATTTTCTGCCCTGGGTGCAATTGCTTAGTTTCATAACAGGGGAAATTATATTATGTAATTTAAGGATATAATATATTCATAAATAAGTTGGATTACAAATTATTCCAATGCTGATTTGCCCTAAATTATAAGGCCTAAAGAAGAACACAGTCAATATCCAAAATAAAACCTAATAGTATTTTCTAATAACTGTAACTTTTGAATATTAAATCTTGTGATAGCAATTGGCTTTCCAAATAAAGAAATATTTATTTCATTACTATTTTTCTTAGCATGTTTTAATATTATCTCCTTAAATCTTCATAACAACCTGGTGAACTAATGAAGTATGGTTTAATTTTTTAGAAGGAGACTTGAGCCCAAGTGAAAAGACTTGTGCAAGATCAAAGAGCTATTGTTTACAGAGAGAGGATCTGAATTCAGAACACTTTTCTTTATGTCAAGCTACTCTAGTTAATGTATTGAGTGGTATTGTCCTTAATGCATAATTATTTCACCTTTCTTTTTTCTTCTTCATTACAAGCCTATGATGCAGTGGAAAATGCCTTAACTTCAGATACTTGGGACCTGGGGCAGGAGGATCACTTGAGCCCAGGAGTTCAAGACCAGCCTGGGCACCACCATGGTGAAACTTCAGCTCAAAAACAATACAAAATGAAAACATAAAACCATACAAATAACTATATGGTTACTAGAATATTTACTGTGTCACTGATCTGGAGTCTGGGAAGTCCAATATCAAGACTCCAGAGGGTTTAGCCATTCTGATTCCCAGGTAGTGCCCTTATTATATCCTTAGGTCATCTAAGATTGAATGACAAAGAGACAAAAGATAAATAAATTTACTCTTCTATAGTAATACTAGCCTTCTTCTATAGTAATACATGCATGAGGGCAGAATCCTGATGACCAAATCATCTCTCAAATATCTGAATTTTTAATATAGTTACAGTGGCAATTAAATTTCAATAGGAGTTTTAGAGGGAACAGACATTCAAATGATAACAAGAAGCAAGGCCTGACAGGCGTTAAAATGATTTTCTAGAACTGGTTTATTTGAACCTCTGCACAATTTTCTGGTGGGAAGATGGAGGTATGAAAATGATCTTCCCCAATATAATTATTGCTCCCATTCCAGGCAAAGCAGAGCACACATATTTCTTCTACAGCCTATAGCCCAATATCAGAGCCACCCATGCCCTCTGCTCTTATCTTATAGAGAAAGATGCAATACATTTAAAATGGAAAGGTGAAGCCCTGGAGCTCCTGGGCACAATGGAAGCCTGGCTGGGGCACAAAGCCAGGAAACTAGACTGGCTGGTCTGTTCCAGAGGAAGCTGGCATCTCATTCACTTAGAGTTGTTTTTTCTTTCTCAAATTGCTTTGTTTCCATGGTTTCATTTTAGTTTTATTTCATCCATGTTTGTGTACCCAGGAAATA